AAAAAAATTTATAAAGTAAAACTTAAAAATAAGATTGAATAAGATGAATTTTATACTCATTTATAATATTCAAATAATTATTATTTACTTATTAATATAAAATTTTATTTTTTCGCTTGTATATTCAATTTTAGTTTTTTAATCCTTTAACTATTAACTCACTGAATTTTTTTTGTTATTCAACTAAAATTAATAAAAAATAATAACAACCATTTATATTTAATATTTAATTAATTTTTTTATTAATTTTCAACTACTCATTTAGTTAATTTATTTTTGAACAATTTAAAATTATTTACATATATTAATTGAGGGAAAGGGAAATGGGTTCCGTTGGACTCAAACACACCAACTACTAGAGGTTCTATTGAATTCGAACATGCCATTCACAAGAGGAGAATAATCCTAACCTAAGACCCATGCTACTGGGTAGAAACGGGCCATTCAACAACTCATTTAGGTTGTGTTTGAGAATTTGAATTTGAATTTGATAAGTGTAATTAAAATACATGTATTTAAAATGCATATATTTAAATTACATTGTTTGGATTGAATTAAAAAAAATGAATTTCAAATACATGCATTTTTAAATACATTGTTTGGATATTTTAAAATATTAGCTACTTAAAATTGAATTTCTCTATTAAATTAAATCTTCTTCTAATTATTATTTAAATTTAATAAAGTTAAAGTTAACAATTTTAATCTTTCAAAACATTATTTAAATTACCTCAAGACAAACAAATTGGATAAGAAAAAAAGGAACAATAACCTCCACTAATCAATTTGTCATCATATTTTCCATTTTTTGTTCATTTTTTCATTGTCATACAATATTCAATTGTTGTTGAGAAGATAGAGATCCTACATCATACATCATCAACAGTAAACTAATCAAAGATAGGAAAACCAAGTATTCAAGGGCCAAAAAAATATATATTCAACAGATGATGTTTTATGATACCCATATCCATCGAAAAATTGAAATGTAACAAGCCAAGAGAAAAATTAATGAGAGTAAAGAAAAAACTAATATTGTGATGATGATTATCGTTTAAAAATAAATAAAACTAAGATGATAGTTAATAAACAAGATAGCCAACAAGGTGATCTAGTCACTACCATGCAGTATTATTAATTTTGGTTAGTCAAATTGCTCCCAAAAACATCAAACTCTTGGTGAATATGTAAAAACAATGCACACACCCATTTTTTATACCTAGGATGGAATTCGCCTTGACAAGCTGAGCACAAAAGAAAAATATATTATGACAAAAAAAAAAAAAAAGACAGCTTTTAAGCCCATTATTTAACTGAGCCAACCCAAAATTTTTCTTGGGTAAGCGTCCAACCCAAGAGTTTTAACTTTTACATAGTTCATTGTTCAAGCTAAATTTCGTACTAGGCCTAACACTAACACCCCCAAGCTCAACTCAAGACTCTTCTCCCGGCATGTATAAACCCAAGTCTCCCTCCTGCACCGTTCACTTGCATCCTTGGTAAAACCCTAGCTAATCGCCGTCGACCAACCCCAAGGACATCTCTCCGCCGCTGCCGTCAACATGCAGAACAAAGAGGGACAAAACATGGATCTCTACATCCCCAGGAAATGGTACGCTGCTCGATTATTTTATAATTAACTCGTTCTTATGATTTCTTTCCGAATTCTTAATTAAGCAGGAAAACTTATCATTAATCTGCCTTTTGTTTTAGTTCCGCCACAAATAGACTCATCACCTTGAAGGATCACGCCTTGACAAGCTGTCCATTTTTTATACCTAGGATGGAATTCGCATTGGTTGCGGTGAGATAAGGCAGAAAAGGAGACCCCAAAATGGGAATCGAAACTGGAATCGAGTGGTCAACGAGGTCAGAGAGCGACGGCAAAGTCGATGATGACGGACGGATGGAGGCTTCATCGTCGTCGGTGAGAGGAGAGAGTGGAGAGGAAATTCCTTCTGAAATTGAAATTCATGGGTTTTGACTTTTGAGAGTGAAATTGAACTACATGAGTTTTACTCTTATGAATTACTTCGGTGAAACACATTAATTTCACTTAAATCCAATTACTTTTTATTTATATAAAAATAAAAAGTAATATTAAATTTTAAAAGTTGAATTTCAAATACACTGTATGAAAAATGAAAATTATGTTACCAAATGGACTCTTAGTTAATTGACCATTTGCCCAACCTTGATTTTGGGCATTTGAGCCTGATTGGATCCCATTGGCAACAAGTCCGTCATATATTTTTATTTTCTAGGCCTGAGCTGGGCTCGTTTCGTTGGAGAAGTTGGGCTTCAAAATTAAAACCCATTAGTGGGTATTAGAATCTGGTGCATCACAACACAATAATTTATGTATATCGCG